AACACTCTAGACTTGTGGGGAAAGTCCTGCTTATTCTCCTTTCTGGACTTGACCAGGGGCTACTGGCAAGTAGAAGTGGAGGTGCACTGCAATGATGGACTGAAGCTGGCATTCAACACCATGAGAATATAAGAACAGCGATATGGGTTGAGACCAAAAGTCCATCTAGAGCTGTATCCTGTCTTCCGACAGTGGCCAATGCTTCAGAGGGAATGAACAGAACAGGTAATCATCAAGTGATACATGCCCTGTCCCCCATGCCCAGCTTCTGGGAAACAGAGGCTAGGGACACCATCCCTGCCCATCCTTGCTAATAGCCTTTGATGGACCTATCCTCTATGAACTTATCTAGTTCTTGTTTGAACCCTGTTATAGTTTTGCCCTTCACAACATCCTCTGGCAAGGAGTTCCACAAGTTGACTGTGCATTGTGTGAAGAAATACTTCCTTTTGTTTGTTTTAAAGCTGCTGCCCAATAATTTCATCTGCTGATCCCCTAGTTCTTGTGTTATGAGAAGGAATAAATAACACTTCTTTATGTACTTTCTCCACACCAGTCATGATTTCATAGACCTCTATCATATCCCCATATCTCCTTTCCAAGATGAAAATCCCAGTGTTATTAATCTCTCCTCATATGGCAGCTACTCAATACCCTTAATAATTTTTGTTGCCCTTTTCTGAACCATTTCCGATTCTAATATATCTTTTTTGATATGGGGTGACCAGATCTGCATGCAGTATTCAAGATGTGGGCATACCATGGATTTACATAGAGGAAATATTATATTTTTGTCTTCTTATCTATCTCTTTCTTAATGATTCCCATCATTCTGTTTGCTTTTTTGACGGCCGCTGCACATTGAGGGGATGTTTTCAAAGAACAATCCACAATGACTCCAAGATCTCTTTCTAGAATGGCAACAGCTAATTTAGACCCCATCATTGTATAGGTATAGTTCGGATTATGTTTTCCAATGTGCATTACTTTGCATCTATCAACACAGAATTTCATCCACCATTTTGTTTCCTAGTCACCCAGTTTGTGAGATCCCTTTGGAGCTCTTTGCAGTCTACCTGGGACTTAACTATCTAGAGTCCTTTTGTATCATCTGCAAACTTCACCACCTTTCTGGTTGCCTCCTTATCCAGATCATTTATGAATATGTTGAATAGGACTTGTCCCAGTGCAGATCCCTGGGGGACACCACTATTTTCCTGTCTCCCTTCTGAAAACTGTCTATTTATACCTACCCTTTGTTTCTTATCTTTTAGGAAGTTACTTTTCCATGAAAGGGCCTTCTCTCTTATCCCATGACAGCTTACTTTGCTTAATTGCCTTTGGTGAGGGACCTTGTCAAAGGCTTTCTGAAAATCTAAGTGCGCTATATCCACTGGATCCCCCTTTTTCTACATGCTTGTTGACCCTTTCAATGAGTTCTCTTAGATTGGTGAGGCATGATTTCCCTTTATAAAAACCATGTTGACTCTTCCCCAACAAAGCGTGTTCATCCATGTGTCTTTTAATTCTATTCTTTACTATAGTTTCAACCAGTTTGCCCAGTACTGAAGTCAGGCTTACCAGCCTGTAATTGCTAGGATCACCTCTTGGGCCTTTTAAAAATAAATGGCATCACCTTAGTTGTCCTCTAGACATCTGGTACAGAAGCTGATTTAAATTATAGGTTATATATCACAGTTAGTAGAATTTCACATTCATGTTCCTTTAGAACTCTTGGGTGAATCCCATCTGTTCCCGGTCCTGGTCCAAAACCTCTTGTATTGACATCTGAATCTGGGACAGTTCCTCAGATTTGTCACCTAAAAAGAATGGCTCAGGTTTGGAAATCTACTTCACATCCTCAGCCATGAAGACTGATGTAAAGAATTCATTTAGTTTCTTCGCAATGGCCTTATCATTCTTGAGTGCTTCTTTAGCATCTATTATCCAGTGGCCCAACAGGTGTTTATTCCTGTTTCTGATCTACTGAATTTTTTTTTATTTTACTTTTTATGTCTTTGGCTAGCTGTTCTTCAGATTCTTTCCTTCCTAATTATATTTTTACACTTCACTTGCCAGAGTTTGTCTTTTCTATTTTCCTCAATAAGATTTAACTTCCACTTTTTAAAGGATGCCTTTTTGCCTCTCGCTGCTTCTTTTACTTTGTTGCTTAGCCACGGTGGCTCTTTTTTGATCCTTTTACTATGTTTTTTAATTTGGGGGATACGTTCAAGTTGAGCCTCTATTAAAGTGTCTTTAAAATTTTCCAGGCAGCTTACAAGGATTTCAATTTTGACATTGTACCTTTCAATTTCTGTTTAACTAACTTTCTCATTTTTGTGCAGTTCCCCTTTCTGAAATTAAATGTTACTGTGGTGTTTTCCCTGCCACAGGGATATTACATCTAATCATATTATGGTCACTATTTCCAAGTGGTTCAGCTATATTCACCTCTTGGACCAGATCCTGTGCTCCACTTAGGACTAAATCAAGAATTGCCTCTGCTCTTGTGGGTTCCAGGACCAGCTGCTCCAAGAAGCTGTCATTTAAGATCTCAAGAAACTTTCTCTCAGCATCTCTTCCTGAGGTGACATGTACCCAGTCAATATAGGAAGAGTTGAAATCCACATTATTATTGAGTTTTTCATTTTTATAGCCTTTATAATCTCCCTGAGCATTTCAGTCACTATCACAATCCTGGTCAGGTGGTCGGTAATATATCTCTACCGCAATATTTTTATTATTAGAACATGGAATTACTATCCATAGAGATTCTGTGGTTCAGTTTGGTTCATTTAAGATTTTTACTTCATTTTATTCTATGCTTTCTTTCATATATTGTGCCACTTCACCAGCAGAACGACTGGTTCTGTCCTTTTGATATATATTGTACCCTGGTATTACTGTGTCCCATCGATTATCCTCATTCCACCAAGTTTCTGTGATGCCTGTTACATCGATATCCTAATTTAATACGAGGCACTCTAGTTCACCCATCTTATTATTTAGACTTCTAGCATTTGTATATAAGCAGTTTAAAATTGTCACTTTTTAGCTGTCTGCCATTAAATGATGTAATTGAATGGGTCTTGTTTTCATTTGACTTTTTCTTATTAGATCCTACCCATATTTTATCATCTTCCATCCTCTCCTCCTTACTCAAACATAGAGAATCTCCATTAACAGATCCTCCACTTAGGGACGTCTCTGTCCGAACCACATGCTCCTCTGCACCTGTCTACTTTATCCCAGCCCTTAATGAAAAAACTGCTCTACAACCTTTTAAATTTTATGAGCCAGCAAACAGAGCCTTTTAAAATTTCCTGTCATGCCGTTTGGATTCTGTAGTACCCCTGGAATGTTTCAAAGGCTGACGGATGTTGTGCTGGCAGACCCGTGGAAAACATTTTGCCTAGTGTATGTTGATGGCACCATTGTCATTGGGAGGCTGTTTGTGGAGCACTTGCAGAAGCTGGGAGCTGTGCTGGAGAGGCTACACCAAGCCAACTTAAAGGTGAAATCAGCAAGCTGCAATTTTTCCTGTGACACAGTAAATTACCTGAGGCGTGTGATCTCAGGGGACGGAGCAGGATTGGGGCTCAGTTGCAAACCAGCATGTTTGCAGTCTGCCTGATGTCACAGTAACTGGGGGGAGGAGCTCAAGATGACACAGTGGGCCCATTGATCCCAGGCACAACCCAAATCCTACCCTCAGCAGATTTCTGAAAATGTTGTGTAATGTTCCACTGGGTATTGTTTGTATGTGTGAAAAAGACTAGCTGGAGTGCAGGCAAGAGACAGAGAGATTCAGGGGCATAGCAAGGAGCCTGCAAGCACAGTGTGGCCCCGAGGAGGCCAGACAATCAGGGTTCAGAGACCCTAAGGGGAGAACAGGGGATCTGAACCACAAAGAATAAGCAACTCAACTGGCTGCCTCCAAAACTGAGAATGTAGCTGTGGAAGTTGAGGTTGAAAAAGTTGTGACAGTAATGAACCCCTCCTTCCAACAGAATGGGCAGAGACTGTCACAGCCATCAAGTTCTGCAGAAATAATAGACACCCCTTAAGTTAGAAGCAAACTGAAAGGAAATCAAAGGAGAGAAGAGCCCTAAGGAGATCTGGGTAGATATAAAAGTCTTGTGTGTTGGTGATGGGAAACCGTCCTGATAGAAGGGCCCTGCACATATGTAAATAGCTAAATTTGTATGCTCTGTAATCAGTAAAATTGTTCCTTTTCTCTCTGTCTGGGATAGGGTGTTGGGTGCCACCATTCGAGGTCTCCTCAGGAGGATGAGCCAAACCAGAGGTGGTTATGGGTGTTATGAACATGATGTGTGAATGTGCCCTTCTCTTAAGATAGTTGTTGGATAGTCAAGGGGCACCGCTAACACATGTCTAAACAGAGTTGGCCTAGAAACTAGCACCATGTGGAGGAGGGTTCCACTGGATGTTGTGACCACCTGAGTGTGGGTGTGTGAAAAAGACAAGCTGGGCTGCAAAGAAGAACAGAGATAGACTCAGAGCCAGAGACAAAAAGCAGGAAAACCGAGCTGTGATTTGTGTGGTGGGTGTATGGCCCTGGAAGAAGCTCGAGAGAGAGAGAGTTTTTGCATCTGGTGTCGGCTAAAGAGGATTGTGGCTGTAAGCTAAGAAACTATTCTTTTGTTTCTGGTTTCTCCTGCATTTGGAGAAGCGGGACTTTGGGCTTTCTTTGTAAATAAACAAGATTGCATCAAAGACAATACAAGAAAATACCTCATTTTCTGCACCCAACTGGGACATCCCGGGGCCTTGAACTCTGACTATCCATTTGGGTGACAAAGGGGCAACAGTATTGAGTGAATGTTCTCTGTCTAGAAACCAAATCCTGCCGTGGATAGTCTGGGCTGTGTAGGAAAACCGGGAGTTATTTAAGAAGGGTTATTAGATGGCTTGTGTAAGGAGTATGGTGCTCAGCCCTGCCGCTTTCACAGCCAACAGGAATTCTGTCTGCCTTCAGGTTCCAAGATTTGGCCCCTCAGACGATACAGGACAGGGTCTTTATTTTTGCTGTTTTTTCCCACTTGATATTATTTTAAAACAATTAATAAATATATAACACCTTCTAAATAGTGACCAAGGAACAAACCAAAGGATGGTTTCTTACCTACTGCTGCTGGGGGCCTCAGTGGCCTTGAAAGTCTCCATCTTGTGGTGGTAGAGTTCCTTTAGCAAAGTCTTCTGCAGCTGCGGAGAATCGTATTTCTGAAATTCCCAACTCGACACAAGGAAAACCTGTGGGGATCTCATTCCTATTCTGGACAGGTTGTTGACGCAGTCATTTCTGATTTTCTCCAGGGTTCTCTCTTCATTGATGCTCACTTTGCTTTCCTCATTATACAAGTCCAAGTCCACTTTGGAGCGTACAAAGAAAAACTTCTTTCCCATCTTCTGGATCTCCCGAGCTAGCTTGGTGTGGCAGAATCTGCTTCTTTCTGAAGCGATAATGATGAAGACATCATAGCGTCTGAACTTCACTTGTTTCAGATAAGCATCTGGCTGAAAATCTGGGGTCCCAATCGCCGGCAGGTCCCAAACAATCATCATGGGACACATAAGATGCCAATATGGTACTGGTTCTTTGGTCATTTCCACCACACGGGTCTCAGCAGCACCTTCGTCATCATTTCCCAGGCCCCGGATGGCATTGACCAAAGATGATTTTCCAGATCCCGACTCCCCCGTGATGGCAATATTGAACTCAATGCCTGACAAATTCTTGAATGTCTGCACCACAGAAGCTGCTTCTAAGAAGTTTCCTGTTTTGATAGCAGCCTCGATCTGTTTAGTTTGTTCCACAGACATACCAGGAAGTGTATTTCTATATTCTTTATATAGGTCACCACCAGTACGTTTGAGATCAGCCATCTCCCTGGGAAAAGAAATGGTTACGGTTAGTTTTGTTCTCCCCACAGGCGCCGCCAGCACATTGTAAGCTGGAGACCAGTATATAAATATCCCAGACATATAACTCATCACACACAAACCTGCAAAGCTGCAAGGAAAGGAGCTTTGGTGACAGACTGAAACTTTCTGAACTGCCACTTAGCCAGTCGATCCCCAGCCTGTAGCAGTCCATGGGATTGTTCCATCCTAAGTGCAGGACTCTGCACTTGTTCTTGTTGAACCTCATCAGATTTCTTTTGGCCCAATCCTCCAATTTGTCTAGGTCACCCTGGCCCCTATGCCTACCCTCCAGCGTACCTGCCTCTTCCCCCAGCTTAGTGTCATCCGTGAACTTGCTGAGGGTGCAATTCATCCCATCATCCAGATCATTAATAAAGATGTTGAACAAAACCGGCTCCAGGACCGAACCCTGGGGCACTCCTCTTGATACCAGCTGCCAACTAGATACCGAGCTACTAATCACTACCCGTTTAGCCCAACGATCTAGCCAGCTTTCTATCCACCTTATAGTTCATTCATCCAATCCATACTTTTTAACTTGCTGGCATGAATACTGTGGGAGACCGTATCAAAAGTTTAGTTAAAGTCAAGATATATCATGTCTACCCCTTTCCCCATATCCACAGAGCCAGTTATCCCTTTTTAAAATATGGGCACTATCTTTGCCTTTTTCCAATCATCTGGGACCTCCATGAGTTATCAGGATAATGGCCAATGGCTCTGCAATCACATTAGCCAACTCCCTCAGCTCCCTCGGATACATTAGATCTGGTCCCATGGACTTGTGCATGTCCAGCTTTTCTAAGTTGTCCTTAACCTGTTCTTTCACCACTAAGGGCTCCTCACTTCCTTTCCATACTGTGCTGCCCAGTGCAGCAGTCTGGGAGCTGACCTTGTCTGCGAAGACAGATGCAAAAAAAGCATTGAGTACTTCAGCTTTTTCAACATCCTCTGGTGCTAGGTTGCCTCCCCCATTCAGTAAGGGGCCCACACTTTCCCTGACCTTCTTCTTGTTGCTAACCTACCTATAGAAACCCTTCTTGTTACCCTTCACATCCCTTGCTAGCTGCAATTCCCATTATGCTTTGCTCTTCCTGATTATACCCCTGCATATTAATAAAATATTGCTCGAGCATAAAAATATGCTCAAGAAATATTTTTCTACTCCTCCCTAGTCATCTGTGAAAGTTTCCACTTCTTGTAAGCTTCCTTTTTGTGTTTAAGCTCACCGACGATTTCACTGTTAAGCCAAGCTGGTCGCCTGCCATATTTACTATTCTTTCTGCACATCAGGATGGTTTGTTCCTGCAACCTCAATGAGGCTTCTTTAAAATACAGCCAGCTCTCCTGGACCCCTTTCCCCCTCATGTTATTCTCCCAGGGGATCCTGCCCATCAGTTCACTGAGGAAGTCAAAGTCTGCTTTTCTGAAGTCCAGGATCCATATTTTGCTACTCTCCTTTCTTCCTTTTGTCAGGATCCTGAACTCGACCATCTCATGGTCACTGCTGCCCCAGTTGCCACCCACTTCTACTTCCCCTACCAATTCTTCCCTGTTTATAAGCAGCAGGTCAAGAGGCTCACGACCCCTAGTTGGTTCTTCCAGCACTTGCACCAGGCAGTTGTCCCCAACACTCTCCAAAAACTTCCTGGATTGTCTGTGCACCGCTGTATTGCTCTCCCAGCAGATGTCAGGGTGACTGAAGTCCCCCATGAGAACCAGGGCCTGTGATCTGGAAACTTCTGTTAGTTGTCTGAAAAAAACCTCGTCTACCTCATCCTCCTGGTCTGGTGGTCTGTAGCAGACACCCACCATGATGCCAGTTAGGTAGTTAGGTAGAGCTGATCTTTTCCCACTGGAAAAGGGAGCGAAAAAGGAGGGGAAACTGACAGATTGTGGGGAAAATACACCTCCCCTCCCTTTCTTTTGCTTTTTACAACTGGAAAAAAGGGTAAAAAGTAAAAAGTGAGAGACAACTGGGAAATGGGTTGAGACAACAATTGAAAATAGCTCTTGGAATGTCATACTGTGACAGGGTCTATTCAGCACAGATTCCGTAAAGGGAAATTCCATAAAGAACAAAATTGTCAGACACATATATGAACATAATTTGGTGGGAAATAGTCAATATGTTTTTTGTAAAGGGAAATCATGCCTCACCAATCTACTAGAATTCTTTGAGGGGGTCAACAAGCATGTGGACAAGGGGGATCCAGTGGATATAGTGTATTTAGATTTTCAGAAAGCCTTTGACAACGTTCCTCACCAAAGGCTCTTAAGCAAAGTAAACTGTCCTGGGATAAGAGGGAAGGTTCTCTCATGGGTCGGTAACTGGTTAAAAGATAGGAAACAAAGGGTAGGTATAAATGGTCAGTTTTCAGAATGGAGAGAGGTGAATAGTGGTGTCCCTCAGGGGTCTGTACTGGGCCCAGTCCTATTTAACATATTCATAAACGATCTGGAAAAAGGGGTAAACAGTGAAGTGGCAAAATTTGCAGATCCTACAAAATTACTCATGATACTTAAGTCTAAATCAGACTGCGAAGAGCTACAAAAGGATATCACAAAACTGGGTGACTGGGGAACAAAATGGGAGATGAAATTTAATGTTGATAAATGCAAAGTTATGCACATTGGAAAACATAATCCTAACTGTATGTATACAATGATGGGGTCTAAATTAGCTGTTACTGCTAAAGAAAGAGATCTTGGAGTCACTGTGGCTAGTTCTCTGAAATTATCCACTCAATGTGCAGCAGCAGTGAAAAAAGCGAACAGGATGTTGGGAATCATCAAGAAAGGGATAGATAATAAGACAGAAAATATCATATTGCCTCTATATAAATCCATGGTGCGCCCACACCTTGAATACTGCGTGCAGATGTGGTCGCCCCATCTCAAAAAAGATATATTGGAATTGGAAAAGGGTCAGAAAAGGGGAGCAAAAATGAGTAAGGATATAGAACGGCTTCTGTATGAGGAGAGATTAATAAAGACTGGGACTTTTCAGCTTCAAAAAGAATTGACTAAAGGGGAATATGATATAGGTCTATAAAATCATAAGTGGTATAGAGAAAGTAAAAAAGGAAGTGTTATTTACTCCTTCGCATAATGCAAGAACAAGGCGCCACCAAATGAAATTAATAGGTAGCAGGTTTAAAACAAACACAAGAAAGTATTTTTTTCATGCAACTCACTGTCAACCTCTGGAACTCCTTGACAGAGGGTGTTGTGAAGGCCAATACTATAATGGGTTCAAAAAGGAGCTAGATAGATTCATGTAAGATAAGTCCATCAATGGCTATTAGCCAGGATGGGCAGGAATGGTGTCCCTAGCCTCTGTTTCCCAGAAGCTGGGATTAGCTGACAGGGCATGGATCACTTGATGATGACCCATTCTGTTCATTCCCTCTGAAGCATTGGCCACTGTTGGAAGACAGAATACTGGGCTAGATGGACTTTTGGTCTCAACCCATATGGCCATTCTTATGTTCTCACGGTGTTGAATGCCATCTTCATTGGAGTGCACCTCCATTTCTACTTGCCAGTAGCCGCTGGTCAAGTCCAGGGAGGAGAATAAGCAGGACTTTCCCCACAAGTCTAGAGTGTTGTCAGTCCTTTGGGGCACCTGCCATTGGCCACTGTCAGAGGACAGGATACTGGGCTTGATGGACCTTTGGTCTGACCCAGTATGACCGTTCTTATGTTCTCATGAAATCATGTCTCCCAGATAACAGCCACCAGGAACACTGTACCGAGATTGTTTGCCCAGCACTGAAATGCAGCCATCTCTGTGGTGGGGAAGTGAGATTAAAGCAGATTTCCCTTCTCTGTACTCAGTGGAATAGAAAGAGGGGGGATGTTTCTATGCATAGAAGTAACACAGGGTGGGCACTACTAGCCTTTTAGGGTCTCAAATGGGAGTAGGACACCAAAGGAATCTCCAAAGCAGGCATATGTCTTAAGTTTATGATTGTTATCTGAATCTCTGTGATCCTGTATCACTCTTGTAAAAGTTATGTGCAGAGGAACCAGCCAGGAAGGGACAGGTAAATAGCTCCAGAGAATACCACCCCCGGGAAGAATTGCATAAACTGGTTCAGATTGGGTCTGAGAGTCCCAAGAGGGCTTTTTGCTTGGTATAAAAGGCTGAGTTTAAACTGACAGAGGGGGGCCTTGCTCCAACAAATGGACGTGGTCCTTTGACCAAGGCAGAACAAATTCTCCTGCATATTGGAAGGACTTTGACGTACCAACCCCCAGGTGGAAAGTAGAAACTCCTGGTGTGTTTAGACGTTGTATTGTTTATTTAATGTGTGTTCTCTGTAAGGATTTTATCACAAAATAACCGTGCCTTGCTCTGGGAAAGCTGCCTAGTCACTGGTGAAACACGGCCTTGGTCCCTGCCCAGAAAGAGGTGTCGGCTGCAGGCCTGAGACCTAAGAGGGCATCCTGGAGCACACCACAGAGGGGGTCCAAGGTGCAGTGAGGACAGCATGTTCACTTTTAAGTTCAGCACCCCATAAATGCCATCTGCCCAAGCCCTGCCCTGGCACTGAGCGGCGGGCAGTGCTATGTCTGCGGTACGGGGCCAAGGTGCTTTGGGGGGGACTGGCTGCCACATGGAAAATGGCAGCACCAGAGTCACAGTCAGGATGAACCAGGTCTCTGCTGACCGGCTTCCTGAACTGCTGCTGGACAGGACTGGCCACAACGCCCTGGGGCTGGGCTGGGCACTGGGGCAGGCAGCTCCATGCGGGGCACAGGCGCCCTGCTGAGACTGGCCC